CCGCGGCGCCCCACTCCCTCGCCGCGCATCTTTAGACTTGCTAAAAGCTCACTCCGTGCAGCAAGGGCGCCGGAGCAAGAGCTGGCTGCCAAGCAGCGCTTACAGTCAGGCCCCCAGCGCCTGACGACGAGAGGGCTTTAAACGCCAGCCAACCCGCCCCCGCAGTGCATGCGGTACCTTTCCATCTGAGTCCAGTGTCCGCACTCTTCAATGTGGTCCCGGGTCAGCTGGGGAATCTGGAGAGAGATGCACAAGAACAGTGAGACCCTGTTTCACTCCAAAGACGCTGCCGGGCCTCTCAAAGGTACAGAGGCTTTTAGAAAAGGTGGCTGCTTAAGACCTGCCATATGGGATCAGCCCCATCGAGCCTGGCACCATGAACCCAGCGCTGGACAATTCCTGACGCTTGAGAGGAAGGACAACTCCCTGGCCCAGGCGTGTGGTGTTACACCTGGCTAGAAGAGCATTTCGCCCTGACCCCTGCACGTGGCCTGAAGCATGAGGTTTGATCGCCCTTCTCAGCAGGCACAGCTTGTGGGATTTATGTAGCTCGTTAGTCAAGGCGGCTGGTCTGAGACCCTCCTGCTACTGCGAACTCCCCACAGTTGCTTCACACGTGAAGCACGAGCCACTTACGAGGGATGCATTCAGTTGGGATGGAGTCCGAGGGAACCAACGTCAGCCCAGTGACACTGGATATCCCTGGCCGCCGGGTAACCGGGACGCCATGGGGTGGATAATGCTGATCACTTACCCACTCCTCCATGCCTTTACTCATATTAGGATGGAGAACAAAGTCCTTCCCGGCAGTAACCATCAAAGCCGGGACCAGGATCTGCAGGGGGATAAAGACAGGGCTAGGAAATGAGACGCCCCCAGATCAAATCATCCGCTCTGTAAACAGTCTCCTTGCCCAGCGGGGTAGCGATCACTAGCCATTCCCATCAGAGCGGAGTAGAGCAGACTCACGTAGACTCCATGGGAGCGGGGTGGGCGGGGGCTGCGTAGACACCCCCACCAGGTGATGATGCGCTGCCCAAAGGCCACGCACAACAGTGCACATGACACCGCTGCAGACGGGGAGCCTCACGGCTTGTTGCAATTGCTCCTTGGCAGATAACCACACTTGAATTTCAACCCCTTTATCCAGTGTATGGAGAGCATGGGCGGCGCGAGATCCCCCCTTCGGGGAGGCTAGTCCCATAGCCCCACCCCTTCTGCCCGAGGCTCCGCCTCCCGCCTACCAGAGCCCCAACCGCCCCCACCCCTGCAGATGGAGGAGCCCCGGCCCACCCGCCCCGACCCCCGGGCCGGACCAAGCCCCGGCCTGACCCCAGCCCCGGCCCGACCCCCAGGCTACTGGCTGGTCGAAGCCCCGAGCTCTGGGCTGCCAGCTGGAGCTGAGCCCTCACTGGCTTCAGGGGAGAGGGGGAGCGTGGGTGGGGCCACAGCCTGGGCTAGGGGAGGCTTAGCCTCCCCTGACCTTCGATACCCACCGCCCACGATGGAGAGCTACAGGCTGAAGCCCCAACGTTTTGCGCCCTCGGCAGGCGTTTCTGCTCTTCTGGTCGGGAAATCACTCGGGGACGCTCGCCCATCGGAGGTACAAGGGCACTAGAGAGGAGCCCTTTCGACCTGCCCCAGTTAGGACAATTTATGCCTGTCCGAGTACTGTGGCCGTCCCAGCCAGAGCACCAGCGAACAGACTGTAGAGAGCAATTCTGCACTGGCCCCAAACGATCATTCCTAGATCTGAGCCCAGGCTGACCAACCAGTCTGACCTCCTGCGTCAACCAGCCCCGAGAAAACAGCTGGACGGATGGAGTAGATGGGATCTAATGAGCCTTCTCTGTCCCTCTTCTCTGAATTCCCCAGGGTAGCCGCTGACCCAAAGAGAGCAGGGCAGGGACAGTGCAAGCGAGACCAGAGCCCCAGAGGGACGTGCCCATCACACGCTGCCCTGGGGGCGAGAGAGAGCGGCTGCAACGTGACCACTGTCTAATATCAATCACGGCCCAGTCAATCAATCCCCCAGCTCAGCTGCAGCGGAGGAAGTGCCCTAGGCTGGAGGCCATCCACTGGCCCAAGAGTTCTCGTTTATATTCGCCGAGACTGAAAGTGAAGCGAGGTCACAGAGCCAACGCACGTCTGAGCATCGCATTCGTTGCTCCAGCCAGTTGGTTAACCGCTCAATGCCCTTTGGGGGGTGGTGCTGCCCTCTTGCGAAGGCAGCATGGTTCAGTGGTTAGAGCACAGAACTGCTGTCCAGCCCACTGGCCTGCAGTGTGACCTCGGTCATGCCACCTCACCGCTCCGTGCCTCAGTTTCCCCAGCTCTGTAACGCAGTTTGAGATCTCCGGAGGCAGAGAACAGCGTGAGTGCCAATTCCTGTTCTTCCGAGCACAGCCGCGCTGACCCCGCGTTCCGGCGTGGAGAATAAGGGAAAGCAAGAAGGGGCAGGACAACACCGGGTACCGCGGCAGGGCAGTTTGGCAACCGCTGAAAGCGAGTTGTGGGACTGTGTTCAAATCCTGCTGGGGTGGGCAGGCAGACTCTTAAAGGGATTTAGGTACCTAGAGCAGGCTGCACAATACCCGTACAAATCTGGCCCTAAGTCCGGAACCTTCCAAAGGTGCCGTTCTACCACGGAAGACAGAGCTGAGGTAGACCTATTAGATCACCCCGTCCCGCCCCTGGCCAGCGGAGGGTGGTTGACTCCAGGTGACAGGGATTTCAGCCCTCCACAGCCCCATACTGCCGCCCTCCGGAAACTTTTCCTCTCTTGCGTGGAAAGGAGGCCCTGGGGGAATAGGCACAATGTTACTAGAGGCTGAGAAGGGACCAGTTGCCGGTTCACTCCCTGGGATGTACTGAGTGGGTGTGTGTCTATCCCAACTGCGGGACAACCCACAGCCCCACAGGGTCCCCAGGCCAGGCTCCCACATGGGGGTACCACGAAGGACACCCTGCCCTTTGCCAACACGTTGCCTCTGGCAGAGAACAGACATTCCAGATGCCGGATCACGACGCGCCCGCAAGCCTAGGGGAGGACAGACAGATGAGCCTAGCGCCTGTTCCCAAGCGACTGTTCATTCTGCTCCAGGGAACGAAGGCAGCGTGGGCTGCTCTCGGCACGTTCCCTCATCTGCGAGTGGCCCAGGGTTCGGGCTGGAGAACGCTAACCTAGCTCCTGCCCCTGCTCTGAGATCCGAGCCCAGAGACAGCTGCCGAGTGACAGGAGCCGCTCTCACCTTCCTGTCTTTTGCAGAGAGGCTCCACCGCCAGTTGGCTCGCATGTTCCGGTACCAGTTCAATGGTCTCCTAAGGGCGAGACAGAGAGAGAAAGGGGGAGGGGCTTAAATCGTTACTGGGATCCCCGAGAAGTTCTCGGGTGCTGCATTCCTTGGGGATGCGCAGCTGAACCAGGGGCCAAGATTTTGGCTGAGTTGGTATTTCCTTGCGATCCCAGGGCAGACCCCCCCGCCCTCTTAGCTGGGCTTTCTATGGTGGCTCATCTTAGGCTCCACATGGGCACCAGCACCGCACGCCTGCCTCCAAGCAGTGGGGAGAGTCTCAAGAGCCCCATGCAGGGGGGGGGGGAGTGGTTTGTTTGCAAATGAAACAGCCGAAGGCCTTGTAACAACGTCTCTGGGAATATCCCAGGCAGAGCCGACGTTACTTCCAGCACCGGACTCTTGCTTCGTTCTTTAGCTTTGCTTTTACCTGAAGCCAGACTTTTTAAACTGCTGGATGAAGTACTGGAGATCCGCTCCCGCTAGGATCTGGCTTGGAGGTGGGTCTTCTGGCATGCCAACCAGAAGCCCTCCTGCAGAGAGAGAGAGAGAGGGTGAGAACATCTGATAGGCAACATCGTGGGAAGGATCAGCTGCAAATGACCCCGAATCCGTGGCTCCAACAAAGGACTAAGGGCTTGCAAAGGGCCTCTGCAGACTCCCTGCCCCCACCCTCTCTCCCCATGCTCAGTTTTAAAGCCGGGTGCTGCTCTGTGAATGGGATTTAGGCTGAGACGGGGGAGCCCGGTGATGACGGGTGGATGGCGTGTGAGTTTCATGCCGGCCCAGGAGTAGAGGGGGAGCGTGGGTGGGGCCACAGCCTGGGCTAGGGGAGGCAAGCGGGCCTGAGCCGGAGTCATGGGGG